AGCCCAGGAGTTGGAGGTTGCTGTGAGCTGTGATGCCACAGAATTCTACCCAAGGGGACAGCTTGAGGCTCTGTCTCAAAAAAAACGTAGTCTAAAATAATTAAAACACCTACATGAAACACTTCTCTGCTAACTACACGGTCTCCCTCCACTAAATCTATAAACTACATTTACCCTATTTGTGAATATAGTTTTAGCAGGAAAAAATGGGAGGAAAAACAGCTCTCAGAAGTAAGGAAAGTGAGAATCCTCTCTTTAAGAAGACTAACATACAAAAAAATACCAATGTTCAATTTGGAACCTTAGTTGTTAACAACAGCGCCGCTTCTAACTTTATGGTGCTTCTTAGCATTTCATGCTTCTTTTCCTCCTATATTCCACTACCTCTCCTGAAACTAGAAAATGTGCCAAGACTCCCTATTAACTTAGGTTTGGCCCCTTGCAACTCAGTTCCAGTCATTCACTGGCCCATCTAGAAAACTACTTCCTTTCACTTCCAAACTTTCCTTTAAACACTCTACTTTAAGTAAAACCTGGCTTTCCTGTCGTAAGGGCGCTTACATCTTAGCATGGGAACAATCAAGAAAACTGACAAGTGATGAATTTCTTCGATGTGTTTTTGCAACTGCAAGCACAAGCTGCTATGCCAGGCTAAGAAGGCTATCAAACTTCAGCAGAGAGAAAAGACTCAAGAAAAGATACAACAGGAGGTCTACAAGCAGCACAGCAAATAGGTTTAGAAAAGAATGAAACAGAGACACTAGTTGATGAGCTAGTCCTGAAATAATAATGAACTAGGAAAAAAGGGAGAGGGACTTTAGATACACTCTGAAATGTATCGGGAGTTGTTTTTTTTTTTTTTTAAGTTAAAATTCTGATACTTACGTAGGAATAGGAACTAGGCACGGAGGACAAGGTAATGCAGTCTGGATAAATGTTGGCTCAGAAGGCTGCTCCCAAGGAACTGTAGGCTGCTGCTACACGTAAAACACGTAACAAGTCTGAGTCAGAGGATTAAACCACATGGCCAGGTCAAGAATCTAAGAAAACAATTCCATGCATCCTCTGTCCCAGTGTTCCTCAACCTTCCTAATGCTGTGATGTATTTTCATTTTTAAAGTGGGGTTGCGACACACTGATTGAGAACCACTGCTCTGCCCAGGCAGGTTCAAATTTTTCAAACTGATGGATTGTATAAAATATTTTATTTCATCTGTATTATATCAGATTGTTCCCCCATATACATGTGGTATTAATAACCAAGACAGACTCCAGTTTTTAAGCAGCAGAACAAAGGAAATGTAGCCTCCCTCACTTCTCATAAGGAAAACACAATCATAAGCACCAACACCCAGCATCAGCAGGATGTACTCTCCATTATTTTGCTCACTGTTTCTCCCCAGCCCCTAGAGGAATGCCTGACACACAGCAAAGGTTTAATACCTACTGAGTGAGTGAATAAGTCTTTAAGATAGGGCTAAAGAAGATTATCTAGAACCCTAAACCACAATATGTGAAGGAAGACCCGCCAAATTTGGCTACATCATGATTGTGACTATTACACTGTATTTGCAAATATTATAGATTTCTCTCCTTTTCTATACTGTAAAGTTTGTTTAGAGAAGAGAACAAGACATAGTTGCCTGTACTCCAGCTCTGGGCACAGGGTTTGATACCCAATAAGTGCTTAATCATTGCTCATCGAATGACTAAGTAAAATCCAGAAAGCCTGCCCCACAGCAACCCACTATTCCCTTAATAACATCACTCCCTTACCCTGCCAGGCTGCTTCACTAATGCTTGATCATGACATGGAACAGGACACAAGTGACCACATTTCTCCAAAACTTTTTGGCAAGGTTGATGACATGGTGGACAGGATCCAAAGTGACAGCGATGTTTTTCTTGACTTGTATGATGACAAGTTGGTGATCGACTAAACCATAAAGTACAATTTTGTGTAAGTCTGATCATTGAACAATGACATCTGAAGTACAATTATCTGTTGTATATCTTCTGAGTCCATATAAAACGAGCACACTGTGAACTTTAATATTTTAAAACACTAAAGCAAAAATAATTAAAATATTAACAATAATAAAAGTCAGTCTGTATTTATATTTGTAAAAACTAATATAAGTTTGTGCAAAACTTCATACTAACCTGCACAGCTCTTTGCACTTGGGTGGTCTTGTGGTGCGTTCTCGGCCACAGGGCACTGTCACCTTTGTATTACCACAATTACACTTCACATCCACGGTTTCTGGGCAGGGATAGCAACTGCCTGGAAAAAAAGTCTGATATTAAAAAAAGTTTCCTTAACTACCCAAATGCCCATGAATGGTAAAACCAATAAATTTAGTACACTCACACAATGAGATACTTTACAGCAAGAATGAGGAAACTACAGTGTTATGAACAAATCTTAACATATAACACTGAGCAAAAGAAGCCACACACAGAGAATACGGAGTGCGTGACACCACGTACATAAAGGAAACAAGGAGAACTGGTCTACACTGTTGGAAATCAGAATGACGGTTAGGAAGGATACAGGAGGGTTTTAGACAGGGTGGTTAATATTCTGTTTAATGACAGAAGTTCTGGTCATTAGGTTATGTTCAGTTTGTAAAAATTCAACAAGTTGTACACTTACAATTTGCATGCTTACATACATACACACTAGTACTTCAATAAACTTTCAGACATTTCTTTAAAATTTGCTAAAATTTTTATTCTAAATAACAAATTTAAACATTCATTCAAAACTACAATAAGCAAAATTAGCCTTAAGTCTTTGGAAAAATCTAAAATAAATAACTTGGGGGGACCTATTTTCATACATGTTACTATCCAAATACACTATTTTTAGACAAATTCCCCAATAACTACTCTCTCATGACCTTATGTTGGTTATTAACAAGTAGAGTCAACTTTCAATTATTTATGCTTTGTGAATGATTAAATGTTAAATCTCCCATGTAAGGTTATAATTCCAAGTGTGTCGCTTATAAACATTCAAAAAGAAGAGTTATTTTGAGTTCAGCTTTTTATCCTCTTTCACTATGGGTTGGTAGAAATAGACAAAAGCAAAATGAAAGAAACCGTTTTAAACAAGCTAGTAAGTTCTCCCCAAGAAGCTCTGTCATCATGGTAGGGCTTTCTCCCCACTCCATGTGAAATGAAATAATAAGGAGGGCATAAGCTTTCACAAAGTGAGTATCTTAAAAAGACTGCTGCCTATGCCAGGACCAAGCAAAATACTGACCAGCAGTTAACCTGAAAAGAAAAGAGGAACAATGGAAAATAACCCAATTTAAATGCTCTAGAAGCTAAAAAGTTTCTTAAAACAAATACAAATTAAGTACTGTGATTCAAATAATGAACATAGAAAAAAAGAAAATGAGAGTAAGAGCATCATAGGGAAAACATTTATTGAACAAAATTACCCGATTTATTCTTTAGTGTTTCGATAAGTATAATCTAGTAGAGCATTATGCTGATAGTAATGTAAGTCTGGTTATCCTGACCCACAAGATCGACTTTTATTCTGATCCTTCCAAAAGAACGACCAGTTGTTACATATATAAAGTTAATGGTGACATTTAAGTCTGTTTTCATTCAGCATATTCCATCAATTTCTATACTTAACATAATTTTCCATTCATCTTTAGAAATTCAAAGAGGGACTTATCTAGTATAACCTTTTTTCCTATTTTAAACTACATCATCACTTGTTTAAAAATTAAATCTTATGCAGCACCTGTGGCTCAAAGGAGTAGCGCGCTGGCCCAATATACCAGAGTTGGTGGGTTCAAATGCGGCCCTGGCCAAAAACTGCAAAAAAAACTTAATCTTGAGAATAAGGGATAATTTCCCTAAACAGTATTCCTATTGACAATAGACATAAGAAACATTAAGTAAAATATCTTCAGTAATAATACTTTAAAAACCAGAAGAAAAAAAACCAGTATACAGAGACTGTAATTATACGGCCAATAGTTAAAATAGTCACAAATCCAGCAATTCCTAAACATAGACAACTATGAACATAAAAAACTATAAATCAATTTTCATATATTCATAGTGTAACATGCAGTTAGTATCCTCTTCCTATGAATTAAAGTATAATTTTAATTATGAAGAAGTAAAAAATGCTGGAAAAGGGTGTGAAATTATTCTATATTCTTACATAACTAGATAAACAAATGGTGAGAGATATATAACAACATCTACCACATTTTCCATCTAGGAAAATTTCCTTAAAGGCTAAAAAGCTTTTTTGTAGATGCTAATAGGTATCTTTAAAAAAAATAAATAGGGCAGCACTTGTGGCTCAAAGGAGTAGGGTGCTGGCCCCATATGCCGGAAATAGCGGGTGCAAACCCAGCCTCAGCCAAAAACTGCAAAATAAATAAATAAACACTCCATGAAAAATTCTCAAACCCAAATCCCATCAAACCTCTAGATCCTACTAAGAAGTTATAGGAAAAGGAAAAGACAAAGGAACATGTTTAATAATATCACAGAGATGTAATCTGCAAAATTCAGACTCTGAAAAACTAAATAAAGCAATCTAGTTTCTTTAACAAGTCACAGAGAAAATAAAAAATAGATGGAGGTTAGGAATTATAAATGAAAAGACTTTGGAGACATACCAATTACAACATGTCAATCTTATTAGGTTTTTTTTT